ATTTTGATTGCAAAAACATTGAAAATAGAGTCATCTACTTTTTCAAAATATGAAAAGAGTCGTTACACCTTTTTTTTTTTAAAGTGTGTATGGGTTTTGCAAATGGCTCAAGATCTATAATCTACATTAATGGGCACAAATGTTCATAATTAGTTAGAATACCTTCATGGTTCCTATACATGGATCTTGGAGACACCGGAACGGTCCTCCGGCAGATCCGGCACATCCGTAAAAGTGGTCAATCCACGAAACTGAGGCTTGAGCTCCGTGTTTTTTTAAACATTAGGATCAGTGATTTAAGGCAGAATTTGTGGTCGTGACAAAAACATGGACCTGGATGGCCATAGAACCGTCCAGCGGAAGATACGGAAAATCCGTAAAAGTGGTCCAGTGGTTTCTTATATCACAGTGTTTAAAAAAGAATTGCAGAGCTCTAGGATCATTTTCGCAGATTGACAAATTTACGGATGTTCCGGATCTTTTGGAGGACAGTCCCATGGACATCCGGATGCATGTTAATGTCACGAACCTTAATTCAGTTCCAAGAGTTAAAAAAAACTACGGGTTTCTTACAGTTTCATGGATGATCCACTTTTACGGATAATCCGGATCTTCTGGAGGACGGCCCAATGGCCATCCAGGTTTATGCTGATGTCTCGACCCTAAATTCTTTCATATATCACAGTTCGAAGTGTTTTCAACAAAACTACGGAGCTCTAGAGTCAGTATCATGGATGGAATACTTTTATGGATCTTCCGGAGGACGGTCCCATGGTCATTCGGGTCCACGTTTATGTTAAGATCCCAAATTCATTCTAATATCACAGTTCCACGTGTTTTCGAAAAAACCGTGGAACTCTTGGATCAATTTTATGGCTTGCTTGCTTGCAATCAGGCTAAGGCCTTGTTGTCCTCTGCTGTCCGAAGAAGTCGTCTCCACTCTACTCGATCCATGGCCACACTTCGCCAGCTTCGTAGTCTGCAAAGGACCCACAGGTCGTCTTCTACTTAGTCGATCCACCTTGCCCGCTTACGATATGCCCAGCCCACCGTAGTCGCCCAATTTTTGCAATGTGGACGATGGATGGTTCTCCCAGCAGCAGTGCAGCGCGGTAGGCAGTGCTTCACCACCGTATTTAATAGCTCACTTGGTTGTTTATCTACACCAGTTGCTTTGTTGTTATTGAGCCGACCGATTTCCTCCTCAACTTCTTGAAGATCAGGGGCCGGTAGCCTGTCGTCTTCTGCGTGTGCTCCAAGGTCTGTGCCGTGCCACCTTCGTTTTCTGCTGCATCACCGTTGAGGTGCTCGTCATAGTACTGCTTCCATCTCTCAGTTTCATGGAGTGACCATTTGACGGATGTTGTTTATCTTCCGGACGACAGTCCCATGGCTATCTAGGTAAATGTTTATGTCACGACCCCAAATTCATTCTTATATCACAGTTCCTAATGTTTTTTTTTTTTGAAAAAACTGCTCTAGGATCAGTTTCATTGATTGACCTCTTTTAAGGATGTTATGGACTTACCACAGGATGGCCCCATGGCCATTTGGGTTCATGTTTATGTCATGACCCCAAATTATTTCTTAAAACAAAGTTCCACATGCTTTCGGATCAGTTTCATACATTGACCACTTTTACGGATTTTTCGGATCTTCCGGAGGACGGTCCGATGGCTATCTTTGTCCATGTTTATGTCACGATCCCAAACTCATTCTTATATCACAGTTCCTAAACGTGGAGCTCTACAAACAGTTTCATGGATTGACCACTGTTACGGATCTTCCGGATCTTCCGGAGGACGGTCCCATGGACATCCAGGTCCAAGTTTATGTCACAACCCCAATTTTTTTCTATCATCACAGTTCCTAATGTTAAAAAACGCGGAGCTCTAGGATCAGAGGATCGTGGATTTACCACTTTTAAGGATGCTCCGGATCTTCCACTAGACATGGCCCAAATTCATCTTATATCACAGTTCCTAATGTTTAAAATACGCGGAGCTCTAGGATCAGTTTCATGGATTGTCTAATTTTACGAATGATCCGGATCTTCCGGAGGACGGTCCTATGGCCATCCAGCTCCATGTTTATGTCACGACCCCAAATACTTTTTTATATCACAGTTCCTAATGTTTTCAGAAAAACCGCGGAGCTCTAGGATCAGGTTCATGGATTGACTACTTTTACGGATGTTCCGGATTTGTCGAGGACCGTTCTGTTGTCTCCAGGATTCATATATAGGAACCATGACTGTATTCTGGCTAATTGTGAACATTTGTGCCCATTAATCTAAATAACAGATCTTGCGCCACTTACAAAAAAACGTGTAACAACTCTTTTCGCTTTTTAAAAAACAGACGACTCTATTTTCAAAATTATTACAATCAAAATCATCTACAGACCCTAGAAATTCTACAGGTACCACAATTTTTGAAATTCATTTAGAAATGGCTAAGTTATGCCGAAGCAAACTTGCCGTTACAAGTTTTTCGGAGACTTCGTAGTCGGCGTAAAGTTTTTTACCCACCGTATTTGGAGTGTTAATTGAAATTCAACTAGGGGAAACGCTCCTATAAAGGGTGATACGGTCAAAATTTGGTCAATATCAATTTGACGTATTTCTTTCAATTTTGCATTTAAAAAACCTGAACACCCCTCATTTTGAAGGTGTGTGTGTGTAGAATGTTGCTCCTATTTTGATTTTGAAATTCACTCTTCAGTTGTCAAAATGCCGTCCAAGCAAGAAGAGCAGCGTATCAAAATTTTGCTCGCGCATCGCGAAAATCCGAGCTACTCGCACGCAAAGTTGGCAAAATCGCTAAAAGTTGCCAAATCAACCGTTACAAATGTAATTAAAGTGTTTGGGGAACGTTTGTCGACAGCCAGGAAGTCTGGATCGGGGGGAAATCGAAAACCGGAAGCCGCTGAGACGACAAAGAGAGTTGCCGGTAGTTTCAAGCGAAACCCTAACCTCTCTCTCCGAGATGCCGCAAATAAGCTGGGTGTATCGTCTACAACCGTGCATCGAGCCAAAAAACGAGCCGGACTATCGACTTACAAGAAGGTAGTGACTCCAAATCGCGATGATAAACAAAATACGACGGCCAAAGCGCGATCCCGGAGGCTGTACACGACGATGCTGACGAAGTTTGACTGCGTGGTAATGGACGACGAAACCTACGTCAAAGCCGACTACAAGCAGCTTCCGGGACAGGAGTTTTATACGGCAAAAGGAAGGGGAAAGGTAGCAGATGTTTTCAAGCACATGAAACTGTCAAAGTTCGCAAAGAAATATCTGGTTTGGCAAGCCATCTGTACCTGCGGCTTGAAAAGCAGCATTTTCATAGCTTCCGGGACTGTCAACCAAGAAATTTACGTGAAAGAGTGTTAGAATAAACGTCTGCTGCCTTTCCTGAAGAAACACGGTTGTTCCGTACTGTTTTGGCCGGATTTGGCATCTTGCCATTACGGTAAAAAGGCCATGGAGTGGTACGCCGCCAACAACGTGCAGGTGGTTCCCAAGGACTTACTTGTAACTTGCAAGAAGAGGTTACAAAGTATGCGTTTGAAACATAAAACCTGTAAATTTTGCTTTCTATGAGTTACAATCATCGATTTGCTGATCGCTGAGTGAGTGAGTGAAAAATCGCTGATTATGACTCTCATGAAGTGAAATAAACAGGTTTAATATGTCAACCACATTCTTTGCAACCTCTTCTTGTATCCTACCAATTCAAAATATGATCATGGCATCCAATTATTTCATAATTAAACAAATCATTGTTTTAGCTGAAATGAGTATTTACAACCTTGGTTAAAAGATATCGATTTGCTCTATTCGACAAAAATGTACGGTAAGGCGAGTCAAGATTAGTCACGGGGCAAGAAGGGTCAGCTAGCACATTTATTAATTTATTTGTTTGTCGATATCCACAGGTTCAATGCAACTCCAATGATATTTTGCTTTTTCCAAATCAGCACTGGGGCTACATTGAGTCTGTTGATGTTGACAAAAATATAAATAAATCAAGCAGGGGTAAGAGGGGCATACTGAACAGGTGGGGCATAGTAAGCCTTTCGTGCACCAGCTTGGATTTCCGGCCGTTCGGAGCACATTGCTTGGTGGTAGGATCAATATCATAATGATATTGAACCTTCTACCAGTTGATTTGTTTCATGCAGCTGGAGATCCAGAGCCAAAGTGCGGGATGCTCACTATGCCCCTCCTTTCCCTACACAGCAAAAAAATAATTTTGATATCACATCAAGGTGAATGCACTTCAACCATGTCAAAAATATGGTGTAATATTACTTGCCAAAAAGGACAGGATTATCATTAATACATTGCATGAACTGAAATTACGTTGCTTTTATTGCATTTGTTTATTTTTGTGGCCATAAATTGTACATGAGATTTTCGACATAAGTGAAGTGCATCCTCTTGGATGTAATATTAAAAAATTTATTTTTTGCTTATTAGTTGACCCATCTTGCCCTACTTTACCCTACATATTAATAATCTCTACAAGATGACTTCCTCGGTAAATTTAGGATAAAAAAGTTAGAGCTCAAAAACATGATATTTCAGGATCACCCTATGTCCATTCTGAAAAATTGCTCTAAATTGAGAACATTAGGAGATATAAAAGATGTTTCCTTTCTTCAACAAAGTAGTTTGAAATTATCTCAGCTACATTTTTACCCAAAACTGTGTGTCTCTATATTCAAAACTAAGAGTTTTAGTTTTTAAATATTAATTAATATGAGGACCACCATAACTTTAAAACCGCCAAAAAGAAGAAAATTTCTAAACAAAATAAATTGTAAAAATTAAAGCGATGTTATGTTCGGTATGGTATATTATCCATTACAAAGAAACATCCTCAGTAGTATTTTTATATGACAGTTGTTTACCTAGTAGCACCCTATTGAACGGTATGTTACCAACATCATAAACAAAATTACGATCAAAGTCACCATTGCCAAACGAAACTCACCTTCTTCTTGGTCAGATCACAGCAATCGCCATTGATTAGCGTCATCTCGCGACTGTAGCGGGTCATCAGTTTCGCCTTCGGTTCCGACACTTGGAAGTAGGTGGAACTGGTGGTCAGTATGTCCAGCGGGCTAAAACAAAAACAAACAAAAAAAAAACCGACACCGGTGAATATTTTGTCAACCAAAACGGCAAACAGGTACTTCTGAGTCTTACCTTTTCTGCGGACTGACTTCCGGCGTCGCCGTCGAGGCATCCTTCTTCATCGGTCGGGGTGCTATTTGAATGTTGAACAGGTCAGAAACATAATCGGAGGTCGATTTGAACGTTTTGGGAGCTGATGGAGGGGGGAGGTGCATAGGTTGCAAGCATGTAGCAATAGAAAAAAATAACGTAAATGAAACAAAAAAAAATGGATGAGTAAAAAGTTGGATTTTAGCAATACATATAGGAAAAAACTAATTGCAGCTGTTGAGCCACGTGTGATGATCGTTTTGAAAGGGAAGTGTGCGACGACGCAGAGACCTAAAAATTTACGTAAATTTGACCTAATTAATAATTGCGCTGCACATGGTGCGGCGTCTGCGCGGGAAACCCGCTTTGATGCACATTTTTATGCTTTAGCTGCGGAACCTTTTTTTTTTGCTTCTTTCATTTCGATAGAGACTAGTAATTATCTCGTATTTGGTTGATGGAGTATGAAGGCTGTTGGTTGGTTGGTTGTTGTTGTTGTTGTTGTTCGTTCGTGTGTATGGATGTAACTTTCACGTAGGGAACCGTCCGTGCGCTCGCAGTGTTGACGTGAAAATTGGTTAAGGTCGCGCACCGACTGATTCTGCATCTTCGATTTGGATGCGAGCGATCGGATGAGATGGGAAGTCGGTAATTAAAATTGAGTGAAAATTAATTCGTTTTATTAAAAGTAGAGCAAAATTGAATTAAACGGGCTTTGATTGGGGAATACACGTCGATCGGTGTTCAGCGGCGCGGCTGTTGTCATATTTGGAAGTGGACGGTGCGAAGACGTGCATCCGTCCGGTTGCTGGCTTGCGTTTTGGCGATTCGAGTTTTGATTGATTGAATATGATTGCGCTTGTATAGTATTTGGCTGAATGGGAAGAGCAAGTTCGATCAGTGAAAGGTAGGCTTATTTTCTTCATCGAATGAGGAGAAATTTTGTGTAAAAACTTGTAGCTTGCAAGTTTACTACATGTTTTGAAATTTTCAAGTACAACCTGGAGCAGAATTTTAGATATAAAATTACACGTTGATGATCTGTAATTCTATGATTTAATTTAAATTTATTAACTCAATCAATTTTGATTCACTATAACTAAAAACACAGATCCATGTTAAATTCAATACAAATGGATGGAATATTAAATAATTTCACGGAAAATTAAAGTTTTATTGCTGTATGTTTCAATTAAGGAGGCCGGAAAATACATCAATGTGTTACATGTATATTTACAAAGTCTTAATAATCTAAAGAAAAACATTTCAAAGCTTTGGAAGCTCACAACCATAAACACACCCCCGAGTGTAAGGTAACTTGTAGCAAAACTTTTGCGATTGCTCGCCACCTACATTTTGAAGTTAGAACTAAGAAAATGATGATGACTAAAATAGTTCCTTCAGGTACGGCCGGTTTTTAGCAAAATAAAACGTTAATATGAAGAAATTGTTGATTGCGTCTGGTAAGAAAACATGATTTCTATTCTATTGTCATATTGCGGAAAAATTCTATGGGTTTTAAACGGGGAAAATTTCAAAAATATTATTACTCCATACGGTCATGAATAATTTTCCGGAAAACGATGAAAACTGATGATTTTTTAAACCAAATGAATGTTTTCAGTAAAACATTAATCTTAGTTAAGGAAGTTAAGAAGTGGTTGCAAAATGCAACAATAGGAGAAAAACATTCATAATCACCTCCGGTCTATTTGCATTTTGTTTTTCAATGTTTCTTGATTTCGTTCCAAATGATTGCTTTATGTTGCAATCACCTTTTAAGTGTAAATTGATGAATCTTTCATTTGTTTACATTTGCTTTCGATTGTAGCATCACTGCTGCAAAATATCAATATCAATACCTACAACATACTGAATTTAACTAGCCACCTGATGTCATTATAAGATCACACAGTTAGAATATCAATGTCATTCGCCTCAATATCAGTGCTGAAATAACATTGACATCGTAGAGGGACCACTGATATTCCATATTCTGTCGCATTTTTTTTTCTTCTAATGTACGCTAACTAATCGAGAACTGATCTTTAGAAAACTCATCAGTTATATTAAAACAATGCAGCGGTTATACAAAGTTGATTTATTGAGATAAAAGTAAGATTTTCAACTTTTCCGTAGTGATATTCAAATGGATAGTAATGTCAAAGCCGTTCCATTTGAAATCATGCTTACTACGAATATCATTGTCGGAAGTGAAAGACCAATATCTTACGTCATTGGACATTGTTGACAGCACACAGCACTGTGTAGCATTGATAACATCATGAAATAAAATGAGCATTTCAGTTGAAAATTAACCTGTAAAGTCGACGTAGTTTGCCAGTTTGGAAAGAGCTTTCTTACATGTTTCAATAGTCGTTCCAAATTAAATTAAAAAAAATGCATTCTAATGTTGAATTTCGTGTACTTAATTTCTTCGTACCTCGTCACATTCATCATAATTTCTCAGTAGTGACATCTGGCTGCAGTTTTTGCGGCAATTTATCAATTGGCTACTGTGCTCTTCAAACTCGGTGTGAAAACACAAGTTATGCGCTCTTCATTTTTTGCAGTATACACTGTAAAAAATCGCTGCTTTTAAGTTTGTTGATATTTCAGATAAAAAAACGAAGTTTGCTGGAAATTTCAGCAAAAAAAACAAAAAAATGCCGAGATAATGTGTGGCTTTTTTTTTGCCGATTTACAGTGAGTGTCATAATCTCTTCGTTTATTGCTCGCTGCTTGCTTGCAGTAGTGTGTATGAATATGTTGTTGGGCATCGGGTTCCGTAACATGCCTTTCATGTGTAAGCAGTTCTAAATTGATATACATTACGACACTTGTTTGTACAATACGTAATAAGATGTTTTATGTTATGATGAGTGCATAGGTGGCACTAGTTGTATCACTGTGAATTGTTTTGATCGTCCTGATTATTGTATGTGTTGTGTTTGTATGCATCAGAAAAGGACGATAAATTATTCGGTTTTCAGCTATTGCCATGGTGGTATCGTATTGCAACCACTTCAATATTATTTAAATTAGGTTATGTCACAACGTAAGGGTCATACCCGTGCTAGATTAACCCCTTTTATGGAGTAATCTGACCATTTTGACGATCTGACCAGCAACGATCAGTACCTATTGAGCAGTTCCACGCCAAGTGACGAATCGATCTGACGCAACCTTATCCAATTTGCATAATTGTTTGTTATGATCAATCATTCATATTTGGTATGAAATACAACCATTTTGAATCTAGCAAAAAAAAAAAAAAACAAAAAAAAAGAATCGAACTGGCGTTGGGTATGGTGCCAGTTTTTGGCCCAAGTGGTCTTTTAATTGGCCCAATCTTAAATTTCACATTTTTTAGCTTTCAAAATTTATTTCGATACAAAACTAGAACATATATCAAGAGCCACATGTGAAAAGGGCATACAAGCTTTTTGTAAACAAACCTTTGTAGGCCCTTTTTTCGCCAACCGAGGGTCACCCACACAAACTAACAACATCATTGGCAAGGGTAAAGTTTTCCCTACCCGGTGATGATGATGGTTTGCGTTGGTGTCATATAGGTGGCGAGAAAAGGTCATAAGAAGGTTTGTTTACAAAAAGCTTGTATGCCCTTTTCACATGTTGTTCTTGATATAGCATACAATTTTAACTGTCCACAATAGATCAGACACGCACGACCTCATAACATATGCACACGTGTTCATAGTTCAACTAAACGCGAAAATGATGATCAGAAAATTCGTTGAAACAATCGTCTATGGTTATTAGGGTGGGTAAACTTTACAACTCCACTACTTTTTCGATCTGTATTGGTATCCCCAACCTACTGTGCCAAATTTGAACACATTTGGTTAAAATCTGCATTAAAGTTTGTATGGGAAAATGTATAGGAAACTGAGCGAAACTATTAATTTACTTCATTTCATTCATTCGAAATTTGATCAATATTTAACCAATTTTGAGGTTTAGATTGGGAAATCTATGCCGAACAATGTTTTCGAAGATTGCAAATCGATTAGACTTCGATACAAACAATTTTTTTTACTTTACACCAAGTTCACCAGGCATACCTAAGGGGCTGTCCATAAACTACGTAGACAGTTTATGGGGGGGAGGGAGTTGACAATTATCCACGGTCCATATAAATTTTAATTTCAAGAATCCCAAAAAAACTGTCTACGTAGTTTATGAACAGACCCTTTGTAAAAAATTATATCTTCATACAAAGAACCCGAATCGGCAAAGTTTTGAAAATCTAAGTCAGTGGTTTGGTCAAAATTGAGCAATTTCTGAATTTTTGACAAGTAAATGAATAGTTTCGCACCGTTTCCCATACATTTTTCATTCAATGTTGGGAAAATATCAAAATATCCAATCTCACCAACGCCCAAGGTCACGCTTGATTTTCGTAGAGAAAAATCAGCAAGTAAACAACTGTGGTTGATTTTGCAAGCTGTGATATCGCAGCTGGGAATATCAAGCTAATAAAACTCACCAGCTGCAAATCTCAACAAACTGTGGTGAGATTGAATTTCATGATTTTTGCTTTACACCCAAACGCAACCGAAGCTTCCATAACGGCTGGCAGCAGTCACTTTGTGTCTGCCACACAGCAAAAAAAAATAATTTTAATATCACATCAAAGTGGATGCACTTCAATCGTGTCGAAAATATGGTGTAATATTACTTGCCAAAAAGGGCAAAATTATCATTAATACAGTGCATGTGCTGACATTACGTTGCTTTTGCTGCATTTGTTTATTTGTGTGGCCATAAAAATTACATGAGATTTTCGACATGATTGAAGTGCATCCTCTTGGATGTAATATTAAAATTTATTTTTTGCTGTGCATCGATGAAGAGTAAAAAGAGATAGCAAACTATACTTTCTCTCTTTCTAAGAACGGAATCATTATTGTGTCGAGTCACCTCTCAGCTTGATTTTTGCACGTTATGAATAGTCTCGCAATATCAAAGGAGCTTGTAAAATCAATATCAAGCATGATATTTTGTTCCAATATCACGCGTGATATTGAGAGTGTATGAGAGCGGAAAAATATCAATTGATTGCTGATTTTCCGAACACTG